AGAGATAAAGTGAGAAAGCAAGCTACCAGGTCTGGGACTCAAATCAAGGTCAGTTGTAAGGGAGTCCAGCACCTCAACCACCATGCCACCTGCTGGCCCCACTTGATTATTATTTTTTAAATATGAAAATCTTTTAAAAAGTTGATGGAATTAGGAACCAGTTAGCGTAATGGCTATGTTGCTGGACTCCCACATAGTCGACCGCGGTTCCAGTCCCGGACCCAGTGGCTTAAACTCACGCCGGGCGTGCGGGCGTGCGTGCCCAAGATCCCCAAGGAGAATGGAGAAGGGTTTGCAGCGTGGCCATCCCCCCTGGGGGGTGATTTCTCGCTTTCTGTCTCTCTGTCTGTCTCTGTCTGTCTGGTGAGCGCACGCGCCCTATAGCAAAAACCTCTCCAAAAAAAAAAAAGTTGATGGAATTATAAACTCAAGTAATAAGGCCTTTTTTTGAAATCTCAAACAGTTTTACCCAAAAATCAAAAGTGGCCCAGAGAGAAGGCGGCACTCAAGGAGCCAGCAGGTGGCGTGGTGTTTAGGGGCTCTGGGCTCCCACATGGCCAACCACAGTTTGAGTCCCAGATTTGGCTTGGTGGCTTGCTTTCTCTCTCACTCTCATGCTCGCTCTCACTCTATGCCTCTCTGGTCAAATAGAAAGAAAGCAAGAAAGTTAGTTAAATAATTCTTTAAAAAAAAAAAAAAAAAAAGGCACTCAAGGACCAGCCCTGTGGCCGGACATTTTAAGCAGGTGGATCCATATTGCCGACTGCATGGTTTAAATCCTGGACCTGGACCTGGCTGCTTGAGAAACACACAAGGCACGTGTACATGCATGACTAAAATGCTGAAAAGAGAGAGACAGAAAAAAAGGGATTGCAGCATGGCCAGTCAGTCATTGAAGGTGCATTCTCCTCTCCTTCTCTCTCTTGTGAACACACATTCCCTCTAACACCAGAAGAGGAGGAGGAAGAGAAGGAGGAAGAAAATAGTACTCAAGAAAAAAGTGTTAGAATCACAATAGACTCCCTCCCTGAAGCTGAGCAATATTAGTAAGGAACACTTGGCAATTGTTTTGTCATTGGTTTATTTCTTCCTTCCTTCTTTATGTCATTCTCACATTGTTCTGTGAAAGCTATGTGCAAATGCATCTTTTCCAACAGACTTAAAGTTAGTAGCTGTGTCTTTCATTCATTCTCACATTCTTTGGTCCCTAGTAGAGTGACTTAGATAGAGTAGTAACTGAAAAAAAGATTAAACGATTTAAGGTAGGATATGTATACCAAAATGCAGATAATCAATTAGGCTCCGATTTATGCTAAAACAATCAAAATTTCCTTTTAGCTAATATAATAAGCACAGTTATTTGATGTGTTTTATTTGCAAAGCTTATAAGTAGATTTTAAGCTCTAAATAAGATAATTACATTTTAAATGTATTTAAAATAAAGTATGGTGATCAGACTTTTAACAATACATAGGTAAAGTAGAAAACGATTGGTTTTACTACGTATTACACACGGCTATATAGACAGTACTAGTATGAAAACAAAATGATCAGGCATTAATGTCTGTAAAATGTTAACACAAGTGATTTCTTGCTTTCTATTTCTTTCTCCAACAAGCACGTGCACCCTATAGCAAAAACCTCTTTCTTTATAAAAAAATAAAATAAAAGGGACCAGCAGTTGGTGTAATGGGTATGTCAGTGAACTCCCATGTAGTCCACCACGGTTTAAATCCTGGACCCGGTGGCTTAACTCATGATGGGCACGTGTGTGTGCCCAAGAGCCCAAGAGGAGGACAAAGGAGAAGGGACTGCAACATGGCCATCCCTCTTGGGGGGTGATTTCTCTCTTTCTGTCTGTCTGTCTGTCTCTGTCTTTCTGGCAAGCGCACGTGCTCTATAGCAAAAACGTCTTCAAAAAAACAATGAACCAAAGATAAGGCCTGGGAAGTAGAGAACTTGTTCCCCTGTCAAGGAGCCATTATGTCTCTCCCAGTTTACAAGGTGCTGCTGGAAACAGAGGTACAGAAGAATTGATTCAATCCATGGATTTACTCATTACCTCAAGGAAATGACGGCATACCAAGCAGAGTAGTTAGGCCCTTTCTAGACTACAAACAGATCCATCAACTCTCTAAAGTCCTTGTCTAGGGCGCAGGTAGGTAAACTACATTCCTCCATCCAAACCTGACCACCTCCAGTTTTTGTATAGACTGCAAACTAAGAATGGTTTTGACAAACTTAAATGGGAGAGGAAATCAAAAGAAGAATCCTATTTCCTGACACATGAAAATTATATTAAATTCAAATGTCAGTGTCCATAAATAAAATTTTAGTTGGACCATGGCCATGCTTATTCAATTACATGCTGTCTATATCTGCTTTCTTACCAGGGCGGACCTGACAGAGATCTTATAGCTTGCTAAGCCTACAGTATTACTACTAGGCCCTTTACAGAAATGTATACCGATCCCTGACTAGAATATTTCTCTAGGCTCCTGATTGCATCTTGTTTCTCAGACACAGCCTACTGCTTCAAGTGAGCCTGCAAGCTTGACAGGTGTCCATCTTGGGGCTGTGTTGTCCAAAGTTTTATCATTAATACCAACATATAATATAGTGCAATTCATCAAAGTGAGGACAAAAACAAAGTAACAAATTACTTGTGTACAGAAGGCCCTAAAGTACAACGTTATAATTACCCCAGTTCAGACCTTTTACCAGACTTCTACATCCAGTTCTGGGTCTCTCTACTGAAAGGAAACAAGAACTACAGAGAATTTGGAGGCAGGTAGATAATTAATAGAGCTCAAAAATCATACCACTAAAAATACTAAAAGAAATAAGAGTAGTTGAACCAAAGAAAAAAAAGGTGATTAAAGAATTGGTAATACCTGTGTTTGCTGACAGGTCAAATTCCTACAAATGAAAACAATGGCAGCCTAAACTAATATTCCACAAAACATACATCTAAGGGGCCGGCAGTTTGCATGGTGGTTAAGGGCTCTGGACTCCCACATGGCCAACTGTAGTTCGAATCCCAGACCTGACAGCTTGCTTTCTCACTTTCTCTCTCTTTCTCTCTCTCTCTCTCTCTCTCTCTCTCTCTGTCCCTCTCTGCTCAAATTAAAATAAATAAAGTTAAATAAAGCAATTCTTTAATGGGCCCGGCAAGCGGCATAGTAGTTAAGGTGCTGGACTCCCACATGGCTGACCACAGTTTGAGTCCCGGACCTGGTGGCTTGCTGTCTCATTTTCCCTTTCTCACTCTGGTCAAATTAAAATAATAATAATAATAAGTAAAATTAAGTAATAACAACAATAAATAAAATTAAATAAGTAATTCTTTTTTGGGGGAGAGGTTTTTGCTATAGGGCGTGTGCACTTGCCAGATAGATGGAGAGACAGAGAGAGTCAGAAAGCGAGAAATCACCCCTCCAGGGGGGATGGCCACGCCACAATCCCTTCTCCGTTCTCCTCTCGGGATCTTGGGCATGCACGCACACGTGCCCGGCGTGAGTTTTAAGCCACCGGGTCCGGGACGCGAACCGCGGTCAACTACGTGGGAGTCCAGCGACATAGCCATTACACTAACTGCTGGTCCCCAGTAATTATTTTTTTTAAAAAATACATCCAAAGAATTAAGTAGTATCATTTGTGGGACCGCCATTTCTGCCTTATGTCATCATAAACTAGAACCTCCAAAGATAATGACTTGTCAAATATTGTATTGCAAGTCTGTTCCTTTTTAGAAACACCTGGCATTAAAGTAAGTTACCAGGAAAGGTATGCAATTAGTGTGCTGAGGTTCTGAAGCAGTCATGTAACTAAAAGGTAATATAAGTTTCATCGCCACATGCCTTTCCATAGGACCAAATGGGGGGAAATGGGCTTATTACAGAATGCATGTTACATTTAAGAATGTCCTACACCTGGGATCTCAATGACTCTAACAGAGCACTGGGGGTACAGGAATCTTTTCTCAGGACACTGATGAGAATACTCAAGTCTGGAACGATCTGGATGCCTTCTTAAAGCAGAGTGCATGAGCCTCAAACACCCTTCTTCTCAGGCTACAATTATGTGATTTTTAACTCTCCCAGTTCTTCCGAGTTAAGAGTCTGCAGCCATCGATGTACTTTCATTTTGTCTTGAAGGCGGTCAATATACACAGGACTACAGTCTATGATAAACAGTAACACCTCAAGTTGAAATTTGATTATAACTTTGATTACAAGCTTTTTAAAATGACAGATAGGGGTTACACTTCCTGTAGCAGATAAAACGAAAAAACAGGCATAACTTCCAAATATTGTCTATGTTCCTTTCAAAGAGACTATGCACCTTATTACAATATTTCAAGAGATCCAACACTTGAACACAAAACATATTCAATAAATGCTTTGTGAAAAAAAAAAATACAGTATGTCTCCTACTAGTATTGTAACTTTTAAAATACAGAATCCTGGAACACAAAATGTTCTTTGAGTCAATTTCAACATTACGATTCTTAGTGGAAATTGTGAAACCTGCTTTAAGTATAATTTTAGTGATACTGAGTTTTCAACCTTGAAATTCTAAGGTCTGTATTTCTTAAAGAATACCCTTCCACGGTACGAAGCACACACTAATCTGATTCACTAAACTTTCTCCACTCCTACATCACCTAGCCAATAAAATACTTCAAGCCACTTCCACAATCTTGCATCAACCTTACCAGGACAAACTCTTCCCCAAACCTATTGATACTTTTTATTTAAAAGCCTGTAGCAGTAAAACAAAGAAAATATAACCCTCCTCCCCCTTTTCTAAACCATATGGCAGTAAATCGAAGTTAACTTTTTTTTTTAAAACCAGCTCATCACCTATATACCTCGGCCCTCAACATTTCTTTGTGCACTGGGAACTAGCTAGAGCTGTCTGTTAATGTGCAACTGGACCCTAACTGTGTTTTTAAATCTTACAACTAAGTCCAAAACAGCCCCCGACCATTAACCGACCTCGCCATGGTCTTTTACCAAACCCTGGTGTGGGAGGCAGCGCACGCCGGCGAGGGCCCCGCGGCCGGCGGGGCGGCAGTCCCCCTCCGTCGGGGTGACTGAGCAGGGAGTTTACTCGGCGCGGCCCGGCCGGATCCGCCCCGGGAACTTGGTTACCCGAGCCCAGGGACGCGCCGAGGCCTAGCCGCGAGGCCAGGGCCGGCTCCAGGCGGCGGGGGCTTCCCGATCTCCGGCCGCAGAACCTTCCCGCCGCC